TGGTTATATTTTAAGTTGACTTAGGCAGTTGATAGCAACTAACTAGTCGGAGAGATCCGGGAATCTGGGTCTGTCCTGTTCCCTATGGCACTTCCGTCCCTGGAACAATGATGGGCACGGAGCAGGTCCTCAGATTATTTGCTGAAGGAGGGAACAAAAGAAATGATCTTTAACAAGCTTTCTCTGGGTTGTCATGTCAGGTAAACTGTTACACTGTTTCCTGATTGATGTCACTTGCATCTGCTTCATTAGGCATGTTTTTGAAGGAACAAAGATGGTAAAACTATAACAGAGTTACTATGTTACGGTAACTGTAACAGAGTTACTATGTTACGGTAACTGTAACAGAGTTACATGCCTGGACTTTGCATGAATTGTAAGGTTGCAAACCTCCCACCACCATTTAAAACTCAGCCTGGGGGAGTCTTGATTGGCTGGTCACACAAATGGGTGTGAAAATGGATCTCCTCTGGGAATTATTTTTAGAATTCAGTGAGCCAGAGAGTGAGTGGGCCAGGTACTTTACATAGTAAGTGCTCAGAAAACACAGTAGCCCCCCTTTGCCTCAGGGGATATGTTCCAAGACCGCCAGTGGCTGCATAAAACCACGATAGTCTTGAGCCCCACAGATGCTATATTTACTTCCTAGATGCACACACCTAATGTGATGTGACTAGCGGTCATGTAGCAGCGCACACAGTGCAGATGGGCTGGACAGAGGGATGATTCACATACTGGGCACAACACGATGGCGTGAGATTTCATCACACTCCTCAGAATGGCAAGCAATTCAAAACTTAAGAATTGTCTGTTTCAGGAATTTTCCATGTAATATTTTCTGACTGCAGTTGACCGCGGGTAACCGAACCTACAGATAGCAGGGGGCTACTGTGTGAGCTGTCGCTGGCTCCCCCAATGCCCCTGGTCCCCGTTGTCCTTCTATCCCAGTATGGATGGGTGCTTAGCGGGATACTACCTAGGAGGAACTTGAAGCATTCTTCAGTTCCCACCCAGAGGCATTAAAAGTCAGCAGAAGGCCCTACATTGATTTCTGGCACCATTTCTAACCTCCTCAGGATATTTTCTGTCCCAACAGTAAATCCCTCTGTTGTTTAGACTAATAGGGACACCCACAGCTTTAATGAGTTCAGTGAGATTCACTGGAGACTTGAAAAAAAGCAGTTTATTGTTCCCTACTATTACAATCATTTAATTTTTTTTAGAACAGCTTTATTGAGCTGTGATTCAGTATCATACAGTTCACCTATTTTTTTTTTTAAGATTTTATTTATTTATTTGACAGACAGAGATCACAAGTAGGCAAAGAGGCAGGCAGAGAGAGGAAGGGAAGCAGGCTCCCTGCTGAGTGGAGAGCCCAACGCGGGGCTCAATCCCAGGACCCCGGGATCATGACCTGAGCCGAAGGCAGAGGCTTTAACCCACTGAGCCACCCAGGCGCCCCCAGTTCACCTATTTAAAGTTTACAATTCATTGGCTCTTAATAAATTCACTGAGTTGTGCAGCCATTGACTGTAGTCACTTTTAGAACATTCTCATCGCTCCAGAGAGAAACCCCAACTTCATTAGCCGTCCCTCCTCATTCCCTCCTCTCCAGCCCCTTGGAACCACTAACCTACTTTCTGTCTCTATAGATTTGCATCCGTGTAAATGGAATCATAGCACGTGTGATCTTTTGTGACGGGCTTCTTTTCACTGAGCATCAAATTTTCAGGCTACATCCATGTTGCTCATATCATGTTGCTTTATTCCTTCTTATGGCTGAGTCATATTACATGGTATGGATATGCCGTATCTTATTGATCTATCCATTGGCTGATGGACATTGGGGCTGTTTTCACTTTTCGGCTATTAATGACATTTTGGCTATTAGTGGACATTTGTGTACATGCATATGTCATTTTTTTGTACTGCTCTTGGTCGTACTTTGCAGATAGTGTGCTTTTTACAAGTTGAAGGTTTGTGGCAAGCCTGCACCGAGCAAGTCTGTCTGCGCCATTTTTTCCAAAGCATTTGCTCACTTCGTGTCTCTGTGTCACTTTCAGTAATTCTCACAGTATTTCAGGCTTTTTCATTATATTGGTTTGGTGATTGGTGATCAATGATTATGACTCTCCAAAAGCTCAGGTGGTCATTAGTGAGTTATTTTTTTAATTTTAAGGGGTATATATATATTTTGGTCGCAATGCTGTTGCACACTTTGTAGACTATAGTATAACGTGAATGAACTTTTTTTAAGAGAAGGGGAGGGGCAGGGGAGGAGTGAGAGAAAATCTTTCTTGGTCAAGTTTCAAAATCAGATGAGCTTATTTTTTTTTAAGGTTTTGTTTATTGGAGAGAGAGAGAACAGACGGGGTGGGGGGAAGGGTTCTGATTTGCTGTACATCTTTGTCAGCACTTGTTACTGTCCGTCTCTGATTTTAGCCATCCTTGTGGGAATGAAGGGGTTTCTCTCTGTGGCTTGGGTTTGCATTTCCCTGGTGTTCAACAGTTGAATGAACGTTCATCTCCAGTTTTGGTCCTGCTGCAGCCTGGGAGGATGGCGGGCAGGTGTTTTTTTTTGTTTTTTTTTTTTTTTTTTGTTTTTTTTTCTCCTGCATGGTAAAATTTTAGTGTGCACACATGAAATGTAGGATGATGTTCAGGTTTGAAACCTAAGCCATGCATTGCCAGAGAAAAGACAGGGCACCCGGCTAAATTTGAATTTCCTGTAAACAACAATTTCTAAGGGTAAGTGTGCTCCGAACATGGCAGGGGATATAGTTATCCTAAAGAAATACTTGTTGCTTACCTGAAATTGAAATTTAACTGGGCATCCTGCATTTTTATTTGTCAGATCTGGGATCCCTGCCTGCCACTGGTCGGTCGGGTGGGGACTTGTGGGAGGCGTCAGTGACCCCATACTTGGGGCGACCTCTGTATGTTGACATTTGGACAGGACTGCAGCTGAGAGCTGTAGGTGGGACTTGGGTGGTGTGAGCATGTGGGGCTCGGACCTGTGTCCTCATCTCAACTCCTAGTGAGTAGATGAGTGTGTACGTGTATTTTCCCTTGATTTAGCCTAGTCTGCAAAGAACATGACTAAGGAACATTGTAGCTTTATTCCCCCAATTGTTTGCTTTCCTGGTCCCCCCCCCCACACACACACAATTTGTGCTTCTTTTGTGAGTTGTTTTCAGGGTAGATTTTTAAGATGATTTTCTTTTTTCCCCCCATTTTTCTTAATTAACATATAATGCATTATCTGTTTCAGGGGTTAAGGGGATTTTCTACTCTTCTTTAGGATAATCTGTTTGCCTCAGTGATACTGGGGGAAGGTTTCGTGTCTTAGAATATAATAAGTAGAGATTGTGTACTGAGTCTTACATTCCAGGTGCTGAGGGACGCGCGCGTGTTTGTGTGTGTGGGCAAAGAGAAGCTATCTCAAGCATTTGGTTCCGATGGATATTAACTCAAGTTTAAGGGGTACAAGAAGAAGGAAGAGCTTCCAATAGGTATGGGTAGGGGAAGGAAATCAGAGAAGGGTGCCTGGAGGAGGTGGCATTTGAACTGGATCTTGAAGGATGGTGGGCTGGATTTACAAACAGGCCACTGAGGTATAAAGGGGCTTTGAGAGCCAGAAGAGCTCGGGCTACCCTGTCCAGTACAGTAGCCACTAGCTACATGGGTCTATTTCCAGTTCAATGAACTAAAGTAAAATTAAATTCAGGATTCAGTTCCTCAGTCTTATTTGCCACATTTGAACTGCCTGAGAGCCACAGATGGCTGGTGGCCTCCCCAGTGGACCCCTGGGGACATAGATACATTGGTATCAATGCTGTGAGTTCTGTTGGACAGCACAGGGCTAGGGCAAGGGTCACCAAGCTACAGCCCCAGGAATGAAACTCCAGGCCTCCACCTGTTCTTGTAAATAAAGTTTTATTGGAACACAGCCACATCCACTTATTCACATATTGTCCTCGGGCTGCTTTTGAGCTCCAGTGGCTGATTGGAGTAGTTTCTACCCACACCATCTGAGCTAGGGAAGTGAAGGCACAGAGCCCCGAGAGGATCGTGGTATGTTTGGGAGAAGTAGCTAACAGCGAGATAGCTGGTATTAAATGAGCACCTACTATGTGCGGGGCCCTGCTTGTGCGCCTATGTTACTCCACACCCTGCTTCTCATAGGTCATGTCGCGAAGGGTAAGGCACGGAGCCCTGGAGGTGTGGGAGTGGTGGGCAGCCTCTTCAGCATGGCACAGGGGAGTGAGCGAGGGGGGAGCCCCGAGGGCTGGGAGGGAGAAGAGCCAGGGTCCTGGGGAGCCAGGGAGGGTTCTGGAGCCCAGGAAGGACCACCTTCGGGAGATGGCCATGCAGGGTATTTGGGCAGGGGAGATCAGTTAACAGGGAACGAGGAAGGCAGGTTGGGAAGGAGAGTCCTTGAGGTAGGAGAATCGACAAAACCAATTCAGCTCTCCTTGCCCCATTTGGATGCGGGCACCTTTATCCTCCTAAAACCGTCTCCTGAAGATCTCTGATGTTGACTCACCGGGGACGGCTCCCCTTTCCCTTCTGCACGTGCCGCCTTACTCAATCCCGTGCAGTCCTTGCGTCTCTACTGCGTCATATTTGATGTAGTGGTTCTCAGGCGGCTCACAGGGACGGCCAAAGGAGTTTCCAGAAGGTGACAACTTTGGCACAGACACTAGAGAGAAAACATCCTCAGGGGTCACTGTAGAATTAGCGGGAACCCAGTGCAGAGTGAAGATGTGGGGCCCTTTGCCCAAAAATGATCCAGGATTTCAAGACGGATGGAGGAGCATCCAAGCCAAGGGGAGGATCCAAGGGGATCCAAGGAGCATCCAAGCCAAGGGGAGGGCCCTCCTGAGTCCGTCCCATGACTCAGGTTGCACACCTGTGAAGCTGGCCCTGCGCTAATTCTTAGAACCTACCCATGGCATGTTCGCTCACCTGTCTTGCTTTTGGCTTGTTTTCACTTCTAGTGTGTCCCGGCATGGATATCCGGAACAACCTCACAAGGTTGCACGAGCTGGCCAACTGCTCGGTCATTGAAGGACATTTGCAGATACTGTTGATGTTCAAAACGAGGCCCGAGGATTTCCGAGACCTCAGTTTCCCCAAACTCATCATGATCACTGATTACTTGCTGCTCTTCCGGGTCTATGGGCTGGAGAGCCTGAAGGACCTGTTCCCCAACCTCACGGTCATCCGGGGCTCGCGCCTCTTCTTCAACTACGCACTGGTCATCTTCGAGATGGTTCACCTGAAGGAACTCGGCCTCTATAGCTTGATGAACATTACCCGGGGCTCCGTCCGCATCGAGAAAAATAACGAGCTGTGCTACCTGGCCACCATCGACTGGTCGCGCATCCTGGATTCTGTGGAGGATAATTACATTGTGCTGAACAAAGACGACAACGAGGAGTGTGGGGACATTTGTCCAGGCACGGCGAAGGGCAAGACCAGCTGCCCTGCCACTGTGATCAACGGGCAGTTTGTCGAGCGGTGTTGGACACACAGCCACTGCCAGAAAGGTATGCTGGGGTACGCGGGGCTCTCAGCTGCTTCTCACACCTCATTTGCTGGCAAGAAGCTGGAGGCATTCCCTAGATCCGGGTGTGGCACACTGTTTCTGCAGAGGCTCTGGTAGTAAATTCTTTTTTTTTTTTTTTTTTAAGATTTTATTTATTCATTCCACAGAGAGAGAGATCACAAGTAGGCAGGGAGGCAGGCAGAGAGAGAGGAGGAAGCAGGCCCTCCACAGAGCAGAGAGCCCAATGCAGGGCTCGATCCCAGGACCCTGGGATCATGACCCGAGCCGAAGGCGGAGGCTTTAACCCACTGAGCCACCCAGGCGCCCCTGGTAGTAAATTCTTTTGACTTTGCAGGCTGTGTGGTCTCCTCACAACCCCTCAGCGGGGCCATTGTAGCAGGAAAGCAGCCATGGGCCACACAGAAACACGTGGGCATGGCTGTGTCTCAATAAAACTTTATTGACATGCCAGGTTGTGGGCCAGGTTTTGCCAGCCCCTGCGCTAGACAGTCGAATGTTCCTCTCGCTTGAGGGGGCTAGAGGCGAACGAGTGCGACTTTGTTGTAGGGCAAAAAAAGTTTATCTCTTATGTGATTATAGACGTAAGATTGCTCAGGGTAAGCATTTGGGAAAGGAAATGGGTCAAGGAGGGAAGCACAACAGCAGCCCTTAGTCCACAATTAATGGGGGGTACTTTCTTCTTGTGATTCTGTTGTGTCTTTATTTATTACCTTTCCCTGTCTTTGGGCATTTAGACGATTTCCAGTTATTCTGTAGAGAAGGATGGACATTTTGGGGTCAGTGCTTTATGGAGCATTTGTTTCTTCAGGCCTGGGCTTTTCCAGAACTGAAATTTCTGGGCCAAAGGCTCTTGCTACCAGTTGCCAAATGACTTTCCGGAAACGTTGTACGGATGGGCGCTCCTCCTAGCACTGGCTGAGAGGGAACACCTTGGCCGGCTTCGAGTGTTGTTTGAAACATCTTTCATAATTTACTGCAGGGAGGAGCCGAGGTGGTGTTACTGTTTGTCTATGGATGTCTTTGATTGCTATCGGGGTTGAGCCTTTTAGAGCATGTTTGTTTATCATTTGGGTTTTTCTCTTCCTGTTCACATCCTTTGTCCATTTATCTCTTAGGACTTCAGTAGTTTTCGAAATACTAGTCTGTGTGCGGTTTTCGTAGATGGAGGCTGTTGACCCTTTTGCCAAATGTGTTTTCAGACGTTTTTGTTCAGTGGTGAAAACGCTCTGGGTCGCCATTGCCAGAGAAGCTTCAGATGTTTATGGAGTCCGGAGTGGGATCTTTGCACGCCTCTCATGTTACTTTATGTTTAGAAAGTTATTTTCTTTTTTAAAAATTAATATATAATGTATTACTTGCCCCTAGAAAGTTCTTTTCCATCCATAAAATGTTCTTTCCCCCCAAATTCCCTTTTTAAATTTTAATTAACATTAAAAAAAATCCATCTGGGACATTTGGAATCTGTATGCATGAGTCAAAGGGATGTCCCCCCCCCCACCCAATAACTTGTTGGGGTCTCACTGCTGTCGATTGCAGAAATTTACTCCTTTGTCTTTGATTTGGGGTCAGTTTCTGGATATCCATCAGGATGTTCCTGTACCAGGCCTGCTACTGTTCTAATCACTATAGTTTTATAATGTTTTTATAACCAGGAAGGAATGTTCCCAACACACCCCCGTTACTTTTTTAGTGTTTTGACTCCTTCAGACATCAGGAATTTCCCTGGGAAGAATTAGTGAGCATGAGATCGAGGTGGGTAAAAGTGAGTGTGTGTGTGTGTGTGTGTGTGTGTGTGTGGCAGTGGGGGGAGGGCCCAAGGGTTGTATCACAAAAGATACAAGGGAAGGGAGAAAGGAGGGTCTTCTCACCTGGGCTCAGAAGTATCAGAAAGCCGCACAAGGTGAGTCCTGACTAGAAGCCACAGGATTGTCCATGAGAAGCCACTGGAGCCCTGTGAGAACCTCCTTGTTTGAGGATAGGAGAGGGTACAATGATTATTATATTGTGGAGCAATCTTGGGGACGCTGGTAGGTCAGGGACACATGGGAGCTAAATCACAAAGTTGGGGCAAAGAGTCCACAGAAGTAGAACACTACTTATGGGTTAGGAATTTTGGAGAACACAGAAGTTTCTGAGGTGCTGGGTGGGTGGCAGGTAAGGGGGAATGAACTGGGAGCAGTGGGTTTGGTGATGGTTGGCATTTATGATGGGGAGGGGAGAAAGTGGATGTGTAGGATCTATGTTAGGACGGCACACACTGCCACTGTTAGTTTCATGTTGGAGACCAGAGAACTTACTTAACTTACCTATGGACACACAGCTAATAAAAGACAACTGGGGTTTGTGCCAAGTCTGAGACACAAAAAAAGCATATGTGTGTTTTGTTGTTGTTGTTGTTTTTTTTTTTTTTTAATGTGGGGGGAGAGGGTTGTCCCCTCTGTTTAGAAATGGTTGAACCACTCGTAGTTGGAGCACCAGGGCAACCGGGAACACGCTTTTATTATTCCCGTGCCGAGGTCTCCAAATTTAGGTGCTTGTTTGAAATACTCCGGGCTCTTGTGTCTTGAGATATAATTTAAGACATTCCTCTGTGGATTTATTTCTGTACACATTTTACTCAAAATATCCAGAACAGTATTATCTGCAGAAGTGTCCCTGGTGGGAGCATTTTTTTTGAGGGGGGGGGATGTGTGTGTGTGTGTTTTGTGTTTGTCCCCCCACCCCACCCCCAACACAGTCTTTTGCCTTTGAGAACAGACTGGCTTTTTCATGCCGGGGGGTTTGTCGTGGGGGAAGGTGTGGCTCTGCACATGTTGCTGTGACCGACACCTGCTGAGGTACCTGGTTCCTGGCGTCAGGCTTGGACGTCACCTGCTCCTGGTGTGTGATCAGCGCTGAGGTCCCCTAGGTGAAGCATTGTCCTGTCCCACGAACAGCTGGTGAAATGACGGTTCTTTGAACCAGCGCCCCGTCTGCTGAGTACCACCCCACTCTGGCCTTTTCTTTTCCCCTCATTTTTTTTTGAATTGTGGGAAAATACACATAATATAAAACTTAACCAGCTTCAGGGTTTCTTTCTTTCTTTTTTCTAAGAGTTGATGTTTTCGCTTATTATTATTATTTAAAGTAAGCTCGATGCCCAGCGTGCGGCTCCAACTCAAGACCCTGAGATCAAGAGTGACACGCACACACTCCCATCTCAGCCAGCCAGGTGCCCCAACATCTTAAATAGTTTTAAATGCACACTTTGGTGGCATGAAACACACTCATGCTGTCCCACAGCCACCCCCACCTTCCGTCTCCAGAACTTTCCATCTCCCCAAACGGAGACTCTGTCCCCATGAAGCACGGACTCCCTGCCCCCCATCACGTCCCTGGCTCCCACCGTCTACCTCCTGCCTGTGTGCACCGGACTCTTCTGGGGACCTCATGGATGTAGAGTCCTATGGCGTTTGGATTTCTGTCACTGGCTTGTTTCACTGAGTGTGATGTCTTCAAGGTTCGTCAGTGTGTGTGTGTGTGTGTGTGTGTGTGTGTGTGTGTGTGTGTACACACCCCCTTTTTCACGCTGACTGGTGTTCCATTGTGTGGATGGACCACATTCATTTATCATCGTCTGTGGATGGGCTCTTGGGTTCCTTCCACATTTCAGCTCCCGGGAATAAGGTGCTGCAGATGTGAGTGGACATCTCTGGCTTTCTATTTTATTTTTTAAGATTTTATTTATTTATTTGACAGAGACACAGCAAGAGAGGGAACACAAGCAGGGGGAGCAGCAGGCAGAGGGAGAGGGAGAAGCAGGCTTCTCGCTGAGCAGGGAGCAGGGACCCTGGGATCGTGACCTGAGCTGAAGGTAGACCCTTAACCGACTGACCCACCCAGGTGCCCCTCTGGCTTTTCAAATGCTATGTTACCTTGTTGCCCCGGCTTTTGAAGGCTTAATGTCCTATGAGACTTGAACACAAAAACAGACCCAGATGAACCTTTGTAGAGGGAATGCTCCCCCCATCTTAGGTGACAGATACCAGCCTATGAAAAACTATCCATCGACTCATTTAGTTCTCTAGAACCTTCCCAACTACTTCCTGGAGTGGCCAGAGCCATTGTCTTTTTCTTACATGATTATCAGGCTCTGAAAGCTTTTGGGGCAATGTTTAGGATGAAAGTGTTAGACTGTTCTCTGGACCCAGCTCATGCTTTCTCTGCAGGGTGCCCTCTCCTACCTGTTCTTAAAACAATGATACTTTAAGCAGAGAATGCAAAGGAAGGTTAAAGGAAGGTCAAGGTAATTAAAAGGGAAAAAAATGTGGTGTGTGGCTGGAGGTGCTTCCTCTCTGTCACCCTGCCCACAGATTTGGGGTGCAGATACCGGGAGAGGCTGTATGTAGGGGGCCTTGGATGGGCAGAGTGGAGAGTCTGTGCAGGCTGGGTTGCAAATCACCTTGATTGAGACCCTACTATGTGCCAGGCTTTAGGGTGCTTGGGGCCGCAGGGTGGGAACCAGCCCCTGACTCCTTGAAGAGGACCTTCTGGTGGCAAATACTGACCTTGACTATGTGACGACACCCTCCTGTCAGGAGAGTTCTAGGAGAGGGGTCTGTGGGTGAGAGCACGGATCAAAGCCCCAAACTTGCCTTCAGTGTCCGAGAATATCGCCCCTCCCCCAAGCCACTGTGTCACGAGACCCTGAAAATCGGCCTTGCTGACCCTTTCCCAAGTGCTTACAAGAACTGCTTGGAGGCCTGTTTTGCTGTTCATTGGTCATGAGCGGATAAACCTCTGTCTCCTATCCAAAGGATGGGGACAGTGATGAGACCTGCTTGTCAGCGTCGCGGTTCAGGAGGAGGTGAGGTGGTGCGGGGAGGGCTTTTATTCCCGCGCCTGGCACTCCGTGAGTGTTCTGGAAGCTTCCTGGGAGCACCAGGGCTCCACTTCCCTTCTGAGCAGACCTGGTGCTAGGCAAATGCCTGCCAAAGTTTG